GCGATTCCGGGGAGACCCCGAGATGGGTATGGGGTCTGGGGGGCACAAGGTGAGCTAGGCTGAGGGGTCGAGGTAGGGCCATGATAAAAGTGGAATTTAGGGCATCTGGAGCGCGGCCGGCCTTGGATCGGGGCTTAAAGCACTCTGGAGTCGGCACCATGCCTGGGGTTAGGATTGGGGCGAGGCTGGGAGCGGGACAGAGTGTGGTATCTCAGGAGTGAGGTTGGAGGGCTCAGCCTCAAGACGATCTCACGCGGAGCTCGTGAGGGAGGATCCTGGGAGGTGGAGCTTGGAGTAGGGAAAGGGGCCGTACTTGGGGGGCTGGAGTTCAGGGGAGGTAGCATACTACTTGGGAAGATCGGGCTAGAGAGGCCGAAAGAAAAGCCAAGGGATCCATCGGCGCGGGATTCTGGGCGAGGGGGTTTAGGTTGTGAGGCCCCAGTGGTTGCGAGGTAGTGGGCGGAACTGGAGGCAGGGCTGGGTCGCTCGGGGGCGGGGCCAGACAGGCGGCTATTCCCGCTCTGGTCACCCCTCCCTTCCGCCAACCCAGGCGCCCCGCCCCTGACACTTATTTGTTCATCCAAGAGTCTGGGAACCGAGCTTGCCTGATGGCCCTAAAATCGCAGCCTAAAAATGAAGGCTGACGCGACCTCGAGGACACAAAGACACACATACTCTTAGACTCACAAATCGCATATATGTTGATTCACGCAGGCCCTCGCAGCCACTGTCACTCACAGAGGTGGAAACATTAAGCGATACACACACAGGCACAGCATTGTCTAAACACACTGCTGGTGCCCGCCCCTCTCAAGAGACTGCGTTGAGGACTCAGGGTAGGGGACTTCTGTGTTTGCGCCACACCTTTCGAATGCCTTTCCAATGGCCCGGAACAGGCTGTTGGCTGGTGCACAGCTCCTCTCCTCCATGCTCAGTGCTCACTGGTTCTGAACAGTGGGATGAAGGTCCCAGCCTGTTGAGCCCAATCCTCTCCTGCAACACCACAGGTATCATCAGTCCTGTAGAAGAGCTAGAGGGGCCTAGAAGGGGAACACTGAGACCCAGAGCAAAACGGGACCCTGTGGGAGTCACATGGGAACACCGGCCGAGCCAGGGTGGATCCCCAGGCTCCTTCCCCACCCAGCCAGGCTTCAAGGCTCAGAGCCTCCACCTCTGTGCCCACAGACGTGGTGGTGCTGGAGGTGAGCAGCTCCCTGGCACAGCCCTCCTTGTTCTACCACCTCGGCGTGCGTGAGAGCTTCAGCATGACCAACAACGTGCTCCTCTGCTCCCAGGCTGACCTCCCTGACCTGCAGGCCCTTCGGGTAGGTGGCCAGGTGGCTGGTGGGGGTAGGCACAGGGCCTGGGGTGGTGCCTACCTAGAATACCAGTATCTGACTGTCCCCCGCAGGAGGATGTTTTCCAGAAGAACTCGGTGAGCAGAATCCACCCTTCCCTCCAATGTGCCCTTTGACCTCCACTACCTTTTCTGGCCTCCTCAGTCACCTCTGACCTCACCAGTTCCCCATGTGGGCCTCTGTTCCCTACGGCCAGCCTTCATGAAGTGTGCCCCTTCTCTTTTGTCCCCATCCCCACTGGTGCTGACCTCTGACCCCTTCAGTGCCCCTCTCTGACCTGGTGCTGGCCCCTGACCTGCACTGATTCCTGCCTCCCTCCCACCAGGATTGTGTTGGCAGCTACACACTGATCCCCTATGTGGTGACAGCCACGGGTCGGGTGCTGTGCGGTGATGCAGGCCTCCTGAGGGGCCTGGCTGATGGGCTGGTACAGGCCGGGGTGGGCACGGAGGCCCTGCTAACACCCCTGGTGGGCCGGCTCGCCCGCCTGCTGGAGGCCACGCCCACGGACTCTTGGTAATGGGGCGCAGAGAGGGCGCAGGAGGAGGAGGCCGGTGAGGGCCCAGTGGGCTGGGGCTGAGGGACAGGCCCCATCATTCTCTCCCCCTCCCTCCTCTGCTGGGGGCGATAGTGGCTACTTCCGGGAGACCATTCGGCAGGACATCCGGCAGGCCCGGGAGCGGTTCTGCGGGCAGCAGCTGCGGCAGGAGCTGGCTCGCCTGCAGCGGAGACTGGACAGCGTGGAGCTGCTGAGCCCCGACATCATCATGAACCTGTTGCTCTCCTACCGCGATGTGCAGGTGTGTGGTGCTCAGAGAGGCAGGCAGGGCAGCGGTATTCCGTGTCAGAGGAGCCCGAGTCCATCCCCGGGCTGTGCCCCTCAGTCACCGGTGGCTTTGAGCAAATTACCTGATGTCTCTGAAACTCAGTTTCCTTACTTGTGGCCGGGGACGATCATGTCGCTGTCTCCCAGAGCAGCAGGGAAGTTGGGGCACACGGTCGGTTCTCTGTGAAAGGTGTGGTGTCTACACTGCCTCCTGGGCCTTAGGTGTGGTGGGTGGGAAGATGGGGTGTCACAGATGGGAGGGGACCCCAACTCAAGCTTTTCCTCAGGGTCTGGGGGCCGATGGGACCCCCCCCCCCAGAGGCCATCGTGCCAGTGTGTGCCGTGCCCTCCCGCAGGACTACTCAGCCATCATCGAGTTGGTGGAGACGCTGCAGGCCTTGCCCACCTGTGATGTGGCCCAGCAGCACAACGTCTGCTTCCACTACACGTTCGCCCTCAACCGGTGAGTGGCAGAGCCACGTTCAGGTCATAGCCACTTGAGGACATGGGTCTCTGCCGTGTGACGTCACCGCAGTCTGGGATCAGTGCCATTCAGGGAATTTGCTGACCAGGGTCACACCGAGGTCAAATGGTCCCTGTTGTCCTGTCACTGCTGCCTCTGGGGTGGAGTGGGGTGGGGGTGGCGCTGCTGCCCTTGGAGCGGTCGCAGTTCCCGCCGTCACTCTTCCTCCGAGTCACAGCTGCTAGGAATCACTTCTCTCTGGGATGGTTACTTCTAGAGACGTCCGTGCTGACCAGAGTCACAGCTATTCTGGGTTCATTACCGTCAGGCCTCTGGAAGGGGCCCTGCTGTTCAGGGTCTAGGGGTTCCTGGGTAGAGAGGGGGCGGGGCCATTGGGTAAGTCCCCAGCCTATCTTCCCCTTTCCCTAGGAGGAACAGGCCTGGGGACCGGGAGAAGGCCCTGGCTGTGCTTCTGCCGCTGGTACAGTGTGAGGGCTCCGTGGCACCTGACCTGTACTGCATGTGCGGCCGTGTCTACAAGGACATGTTCTTCAGCTCTGGCTTCCAGGACGCTGGGCACCGGGAGCAAGCCTATCACTGGTAAGGGGCGCCAGTGGGTAGACAGTGGGCTGAAGGACGGGCCTGTGGGCATCAGTCCAGCCCTGAGTCCCCACCCCCACCCCAGGTATCGCAAGGCCTTTGATGTGGAGCCCAGCCTCCACTCGGGCATCAACGCAGCTGTGCTGCTCATCGCTGCTGGGCAGCGCTTTGAGGACTCTGAGGAGCTCCAGCTCATAGGTGAGTCTGTCCTGCACCCCTCCTCCCACCAGCAGGGCCTCAGAGGGGCCAGGGGAGAGCATGGGGACAAAGGACACTGGGCCGGAGCTGGGACTGGCCTTGTCCCCTTTTGGACTTATTCTTCCCAAACCCTCATCTGGACCCTCAAACCTGTCCTGGGCCCTCATGAGCCCTGAACCCACAGGTGTGCCTAAGGCCACACCCCTGTTCCTTATACACCGAATTCTGCACACACTTGTTCCCCAAACCTTCCTTGTGCCGAAGCTCCTACTCCCATCTGAGAGTCCCACTAAAGTTTTCAGCTATTTCTTTTTTTTTTTTTTTAATAATTTTTAATGTTTATTTATTCTGAGAGAGAGAGAGAAAATGCACCAGTGGGGAGGGGCAAAGCGTCAGAGGGAGAGGGAGTGAGAGATTCCCAAGCAGGTTCCGTGCTATCAGCGCAGAGCCCGACGCAGGGCTCGAGCCCACAAACCATGAGATCGTGACCTGAGCTGAAATCAAGAGTCGGGCCCTTCACCGCGCCCCTCACCTAGTTCCACCTTCCCGCCCACACGGATGCTGTGGCCCACACCTGGGCTTTGCCCACACCTGCCGCCACACTCCCTAGGACCCGTACCGCTCTCTCCCAGGCATGAAGCTGGGCTGCCTGCTGGCCCGAAAAGGCTGTGTGGAAAAGATGCAGTATTACTGGGATGTAGGCTTCTACCTGGGAGCTCAGATCCTCGCCAATGACCTCGCCCAGGTGGCGCTGGCTGCAGAGCAGCTGTACAAGCTCAATGCTCCCATATGGTAGGTGGTCCCCTCCACAGTCTTGGCCCGGCCTGGGCTGCCAGGCCCCGCGCTTATGTCCACTGGCATTCCAGCCTGAGCCCTGGAGCCAACGACATGGCCTATTCCAGACCGGTGCCCGCCGCACCCAGTGCCCATGTTCTGGCCTCGTCCAAGCCAGTCTGCTCTCCCTGGCAGTGCCAGCCGGGGCTTGGGCTGAGCTGAGGACGAGGCCGTGCCTGCAGGTACCTGGTGTCCATGATGGAAACCTTCCTGCTGTACCAACACTTCAGACCCACGCTAGAGCCTCTTGAAGGACCCCCGCACCGTGCCCACTTTTGGCTCCGCTTTTTGCTACAGTCCTGTCAGCCACTCAAGACGGCTTGTCCCCAAGGGGACCAGTGCTTGGTGAGGCCGCCCAGTGGGAGTGTGGGACTGGGAGAGGGGCAGGCCCCTTCTAACCCAGCCCCTTCCTCATCACCTGCAGGTGCTGGTCCTGGAGATGAACAAGGTGCTGCTGCCTGCGAGGCTCAAGATTCAGGGTGCTGACCCGGTGAGCGCAGTGACCCTGAGCCTGCTGGAGCCCGAAACCGAGGTGAGGTCACCGCTGAGGTCCCCCACCCCTCACTGCTGTGCACCCCTTCTCTAGAACCTTTGTCCCATCCCCAAGCCACTCTCCCAGTCCCCAGCAGCCCCCTCAGACCCACCTTCTTCTCCCAGGACATTCCATCCAGCTGGACCTTCCCAGTGGCCTCCATCTGCGGGGTCAGGTGAGGGGCGAGACCAGGGGCGTCCAGGTCCCGGGAGGGGCGGCGCTGCCAGCCACCGGGCGCTCACTGGGGATCT